GTGTGTGTATCTTCTGCTGTGTGTGGGTGGGTGTAAGGAGATCTGGGAGAGACTGGGAGTCACCTGTCCCTTGTTGGCCTCTCTCGTCCCCCTCGGGAGGGCCATAATTCTCTCTTGGCTGGACTGATCAGCAGCTGCCACGCACGCGCACACACACACACACACACACACACACATAGGGATAAAGGCAAATACATTCAGACACACAGACATAGTACATTTTCTCTCGAATCCACAGTCAGAGTGAAAGATTGGTCTTTTTGGCTTGCTTAAAAGCAGAAGCACATTATGACTCAAATGACCTGCATTAGTGAATACATGACAGTATATTATTGCTGTACGGCATCTTGTCTACCTTCTTTGTCTTCTAAAACTGCACTAATCAGTATTCTCATATTACTTATGTGTCAAATGAGTGTAACATGAAAGGAGTTGCTCATAAGGACAAACCCATAGAGAATTTTCCCTGTCTGTACTTTCTCTCAGTTCCACACAGCGTTTCAACATCTTTAGCACATCATTTTGGTCCCCGCAACTTTACTGTCTTGGTTCACTCTCACCAGTCTCAAACTAATACTAAAAGCTAGCAACGAACTGGTTGCTGCATTTCCACGTCATGCTGCAGCACGGCTCTACTCAACTTTACCTGCTCTTTTTTGGGGGGGGTTTCCAATGGCAAAAGTTGTGGATAGTACCTGGCACTTTTTTGGTACCACCTCATATGAGTTTCCTAGCGAGCTGAGCCGACACTAGAAGGTGGAGTTAAAACACAGAATAGCACCAACTGGTCAGACAGAATCATCACTTGCATGACATGTGACATCCTGTACAGACCCACCATTTTTTAATAGTCAAGATGGAGTCAATAGGTTCGAACCCTGGGGAGGTGGAGCCCTTCTTTGTGGAGTTTGCATGTTCTCCCCGTGTCAGCGTGGGTTTTCTCCGGGTACTCCAGCTTCCTCCCACAGTCCAAAGACATGCAGGTTAACTGGTGACCGTAGGTGTGAATGTGAGTGTGAATGGTTGTCTGTCTCTATGTGTCAGCCCTGTGATAGTCTGGTGACCTGTCCAGGGTGTACCCCGCCTCTAGCCCAATGTCAGCTGGGATAGGCTCCAGCGCCACCAAGCCTCCTTACTGGATAAGCGGTTACGGAAAATGAATGATTAAATAAAGAAAGAGTCAATAGCAACGGCAATTTTTTTTTATCCACTCGACGCCGTTCAAATGACGAAGTACATATGTTCCTTAGATGGTTGCTGAGGAAAGGATTCAATGAGTTGCATAGCTATGGCGATCAGTATAAGAGGTACTATCTGCAGTTGAACGAAATGGTGAAAAGGACCTGGTAGTTAAAGTGAGTTGAGTCGAGTTTAGTGGAACCATGCAATGGGCATACAGCAACAGAGTCACCGGTGGGTGACCTGCAAAAAAGGTAATTCACGGGTAGTATGTTGTCTTAATTTTATTTCCAGGTTTGGTTCTGGGTGATACAAAGAAACTGCAGGTCAGATCGCAGGCGCTGGATGATAAACATATTAAAAAAGAACCAAAATATTAATACTGTGATTTTCTTTAAAGTTTTAATGTTTTAATCCTCTGACTGCTGACTTTGTGTGTCAGCTCTGTCTTCTGCGCCCAGCTGGAATATGAGAGTTGCTACACTGCTACGAGCACGTTAAATGTGCTGCTCTATGTTATGAACATAAGCTAAAACTATTCTATAAACTGTATTTCCTTTATAAAGTATATTATCTTAGTTTCACATGTGTGAAATGATCACCTTAAAACGTGCTGCCCAGCCAAATTATTTGTGTGGCCAAAAATCAGTTAATGCAGCTTTATGTTTTAATGCCTTCAATATAAGTTTTTGTTGCTGTTGTTACTTAAAAAGATTGGACAGGAGATGGAAAAGGATCTACCTTTTAACGAAACTGTGAGAGACAAATCCTCATCTGGTTTTACTTGCACCTGAGGAATGAGCACTTCCACCCAAAACACCTGGCACTGTCTTCAAGCACGCAGAAAGCACTTATTACCTGACCTGTACAGTACATACCTGAGGGACTATCTCGACAACCTGTCTGTCAAACATTTGACCACTGTCAATGAAGTGAAAACGCTGACTGAGAAAAAAACAGTCAGACACTACTATTACTATCATTTCAGAGTCAAATGTTGAAGCTCTGTTAAGAAGGATTGCTTCACGCTTTGGACACCAGTGACAGATTCTCAGGAATACTAAGCTGAAATGCCAGTTGAGGCGTTTGGTAGCAAATCGTGTTTTGTTTCTAACCTGTTGTATGGGACTGTAAACCTGCAATTAACACCTACTGCAGAAAGTAACTAGGTACATTTATTCAAGTAATTCTTATTTCATGGTATGTTGAATTTATTTTAGTGTTTCCATTTTATGCTACATCTCAGAGGGAACTAATACACAAAGATTTTACATTTAAAACATTTAATTACCCATACAGCCCTTGACCCTTACAAAAACATCTTAGATGGTTTCATTGATATAACTATTTGAGGGTGAAAGAGATCACATTGGCCAATATTTCACCAAACTGAAAAGATTAGAGAGACAAAAATGAATACAAATTCATGCTGCAGAACTTTAGCTTTTCTTCTTTCACTCATTAATCATCTTACAACCCCCTGGATTTATCTTGCGACCCCATAGAGGGGGCCTGACCCTTAAATTGGAAACCATTGTATTAAACTATCAAACACTTTAACTTTGGAAGTCCCAGTGAGATGAAAACCTCTTTTAGAATAACCAAATAATCTCCTACATTGAAGATATGCAAGAGGAAGAATATTTTTTTGCTGCAGAGTGCATACTTTTACTTTGAAATTTAAGTTACATTTTGCTGTTTATATTCCTGCACTTGAATGCAGACAATTTTCTTTAAATAGAGTATTTTTCTTTTACATTTTTGTTACACCATTTTCACTGAAAGATCTTCTTCCACCAGTGATCAACACAGCATGCATGTGTGTGTCAAAACCCCAAATTAAACATCAGAAACATGAAAAACCTGCAGTAAAATGAAAAAAGAAGTGATTCAGTAACACTTTGACAAATGTGCTGTAAGTCACCAAATCCACACGAGCACATCTTAAGCAACTGTTTGTGTCCAAAAATCAAGATGAACCAGTTTCTGCTCTCGCCTGTTTACTGTGACAGCTTGTTGTCAAAGTTACAAAATAAAGTGTTATATAATAACTGTTGAAAAGATTAATTACATAGGAGGTTATTTAAGTCTAATAAAATGATTCCATCTGCTAAAAAGAGGGTTTATAAATTGTTAATCTTTTGAATTGTCAGTACGTGGTATTATTGTTCATAAAAGTTCAACAGCTCAAGAAAAGTACCAGACTAAACATTAAACGATACGCTGACCATTTTGCTCCCAGAACACAATGTTCTTTATTGGACCTTCCTGTTCCTGCAACTTTCTCTAGAATGACTCCCCAGCATGAGCCCTAACAAGGTTAACACATGACAAACACAGACTGTGGAAAGTTTTTAAAAAGTTTATGTGTCAGATATTGACTAATCAATGACTGTTGCAGAATGTGTGTGTCAGTCTCTTGTCTCTGTACCGCACACACAGCAGGTCTAATTGGCTTGTTCTCCAGCCAGATAAGAAGCACGCATGCTTAATGTATTCACTCTGGGCGATGGCTCTCAGAGCTGATTTCACATGAACAATGATGATGTAAAAATGTAAATGCCCACATTTACAGTAATTGGTCTGGGAAACATTGTCTGCATTGTGGGTTTTGTGATGCAAATGGTTTAAATTTGGGGCTGGAGAGATTGACATACATACTTCCATGTCATTATCTCCCCCAATTTCACCTTTTCAGGGAGAAACAGTGGGTTCTACAAGCAAGACAAGTTTGCATGTAAATAATGGCACCGGGGGAATGTCTTTCCTCTGATCTCCTGTGAGTCTCTAATGCAGCCTTCCACTGAAGCTATGATAATGGAGCCTGGTTACACGCCTGTAATTGGCTATTCATTGGAATAATCTGACATCAAGTCTTGTCATGTCTAAACCGTGTCCAGCGTTAAAGAGAAGAAAAATAAAAACTTCATGTCAGAGATTGAAGAACTTTCAGAGAGAGCACATTGTTTTTAATTTCTACACACATGTGTTTCATTATTGCTTTTGTATATTCTTCACTTTGCTTAAAAAGTGCTCTACAAATAAAACTATCATTATTATAAATTAACACAGATATAATACGCAGTGTTATAATTTTTAAGCACCAATACATGTAGGCTTTTAAAACAAAACTAATAAGTAAAATAAAGCAAAAATGAAACATGTTAAAAATGTGAAAAGGGATGCATAAAAAGCCAACATTTAATTATGTATATACAATTTCATTTCCATAGGTTAGAAGATATTTAAATGCTAATTTATTTAATTAATTTGAGGTTTTAATAAGTGACAATATTTATTCAATATTGCAGTTTTATAGGCTATAATAAATTCATTAATTAACTTGCACACGTATGTAAAATATATATGATTTCAGCTGAACAATTTAAATTTGCTGTCGAGTAATTTTGTTTTAACATTAGGCCTAAATTAATTATGATTATCATTAGGCCTACTAAATATTGTGACACTTTAATAATCTTCCATCCTTTACTGTGGAATTAATCAAAGGTATACCCTGATGATGATGATGATGATGAAGTAGGTGATGCTCTGCAGACTTTTCCATATTTTCAAAATTTAAAAAAAACTTTGTCATGTATGTCCATCACGCCTGATGTGGGGCGTGGAGCCCTGCAGACGACCACCCGAGCAGAGGAGTCCCCCTGCCACAGATCAAGCCACCGGGCCTTGAACCTGACCCCTCAGGACCATCTAGGGCGAGCTTGTCACATTGCATCCCCGCTGGCGCATTGTTGCCTGCAGGAGTTCCTCAATGCTTTGAGGGAGGGGTGGGGGGTAGATAGATAGTGTGGCCGTCCATCCAATAAACCGCCTCTCTCCCCTCTCCGATCCCTGTGGTGCTCCCGGTTTTGACACAGGAGACAAAACCCGCGGAGAGGACTATGAATGGTAAAGCACCGAGGAGGCCGAGGGAGAGCAAAAAGGAGGCGGTGAGCCTTTGTAGTCGGGGAGGAATGCGGAAATGTCCCCGCTCCGTGTCAAACCTCTCTGAAGGGGGTCAGGCCACATTCAGCCGGCGTGGGAAAGCCAGGCAGAGACGGAGCTCACACAGGCGGAGCGGGGCTGCAGTTGCATAGGCCTATCCGGGGATATATGGAAGAAAAAAAGAAGGGGAGAGAAAGGAGAAAATCCAAAGAAGAGCGTGGTTTTGGAGGGCTGTGTCACGCGTTTGCCTTTGTCCTATGACCCCCCCATCATCTACGCCCCCTTCCCCTCCACCACCTCCCACACACGCACACACACAGTTGCAGTGAGAGTGCGTGTGAGTGAGTTTTCGTGCAACACACCACCACCACCACCACCACCTCCTCCTTCTCCTCCTCCTCCCTTGTTTGAGTGTCTCTGCTTGGGCTGGTGCAGTCTGAGGGATGGGGGATTAGAGCCTGCACCGTCCAACTACCTGTGTGGCCCCCGCATGGAGGACAGTGGACAGGGATGCGTTTGATGCAGGACATTTTATCCGAGACGCGAATGCCTCCTCAGCATTGTATCGGACATGCCGACGTTGCGACATTTTATTGACAACATTAACCAAGGTAAACACTGAAAGTGGGGGTATATCTGCAGAATTGTGTGCCAGAAATTGTCTTTAAGAGTTTAGAAATGTGTCTTTAAAATCCAATATCATTTTAAAAGCGCAAAAGAGCGACTCCCGAGCTTGCTAGAATTTAAATGAGCCTATTTGAGCGCACGCACAATTAAATTAGAAAAAATTCGGGGAAGGCACCCGAGCTGACACAAACACCTTTAAAACTCTGCCACTGCACTGTTTTACGCATTTACAGCGGTTTCGGGTGTGAAAGTTGAGTTTTACGGTGTTTTAAATGGACTGTTGCTGTAGGAAGTTCAGACAATGCAATCAGTAGACAGCCACGTGCTCGCTCGCCAAGTTTGTGTCGCCTCAAACAGAAAGTTTGATAAAGCAGGACAGGAGAAGCAGTCCGCATGTTGTTGTGTTAGTTTAAAACAGCTCGGTGTGTGAGGTTTGTGCTTTCTTTTTGCGTGTTCTCTTTAAATGTTTAATTTCCTTTTACCAGAGTTGGACAGCCCACATGAGCATAACTCCAACAGCATTGCATTTGGGGTGATTTTCTGAACGCGCGAGAGTGTTTATTTGGTGCAAAGCTTCTTTTTAAATGTGGCTAATTTGAATTATTTGACATTACTTTGTGTTAGAGGTAGGAGGACATGTTATGCGTAATAGGAGGAGGAGTGGAAGTTGGGACGCAACGGGGCTCTTGTGTTGATAGTCGGAATAAAACATGATGACAGTCCTGTTATTGCCTACCTGGAGCACCGTTTGACCAACTCTGACAAAGATGGTGTCTTCCTCCATCTGTGTCTCCCTGTCATCTAGGCATTGCATGTGCCAACTTTTTTCTGTGAATATGCCTTTGTGAGAAACTCTCTGGCTCGTCACCCTCGCCGGGATTCCCCGCAATATTTTCAACAAGAGAGGAGGAAAAAAAAAAGTTCTGCAAAAATGGACAAAGAAAGTACTGGTACTCAATATGAGCCTGTGGCCGAGATTGGAGAAGGCGCTTATGGGAAAGTGTACAAGGCGAGAGATTTGAAGAACGGGGGACGCTTTGTAGCCCTAAAAAGAGTTCGTGTCCAGACGGAGGAAGAGGGGATGCCTCTCTCCACCATCCGGGAGGTGGCGGTACTGAGGCAGCTTGAAGCCTTTGAGCACCCCAATGTTGTCAGGTAAGTGAGGGGGAGAGGTGGGTAGCCCTGTGTGTGTGTGTGTGTGTGTGTGTGTGTGTGTCTCTCTCTGTGTGTGTAGCCTATATGTGTTTGAATTTGAGAGAGTATGTGAGAGACATGTTGTATACAAGACAGACACACACATCACTTCCTTTTTGATGGTCTCCAGTGGAAACCATGCTGCCTCATATGACCTTTAGGTTAGGCACACACTCATCCTTGTCCACTGTTTGTGTAGCAGAAGTCCTCTTCTTTAACTGTTTCCTGCTGACAATGTGAAAATGGGGGTTGCATAATGATGAGCCGCGTGCTGCCACTGTTGGGGGGCACACCTGTTAAGATCATAACTGTCTCCATTTGCATTGTTGTCTGCGATGTAAGTCTGGCGTCTAATATGAAACCACACCTCTGGTTTGTCAGAAGTAGTTAGCGGCAATCACTTTTATCCACCTCATGCGCCTAGAAGATGCAACAGCGTTACAAACTGGTGGCGTTCCACCCCGTTTCCCCAAAGAAATGGCACCAGAACAGTGTGTGCGTCTTCTTAAATGCGTAAATGCTTGGAAAAGACATCATAATACAAATGACACTACCTGTTTATATTAAAGATTGACTGACTAATAAATAGTAGAGCAAGAGCACTTTGACAGGACAGGTGAGTATTGATAAATGCACATGCAACCTGTGACGCTGCCTTTCAAAGCTGGCTTTCTGCAGAATCTTTTTAGCTTACATTAGTTTTCATGAGATTTATCTGCTAATATATTCAAAGTATCTAATAATATTCCAAACTCAAGGTTCATTATCGAGTTAATATGTGAGCTAGGGCTGCAGACAACAATTATATTCAATTACAATTATAATAATTATATACTTTCTAAATGAATTGTTTGCTCTTTTTAGAAAACAAAAAAAGCACCTCAGACGCTCCTCACAATCCCCAAAGCACCACATCAACATCATCATTTGACCACAAAACCAAAACTCCCATGGCGGACACTGTGGAAGATGACCGGATATAAACAGCTCATTCTAATATTACCAAAATGCAATGATAGTTAGTTCCAAACTAATGAAAACACAGTTATGAATATGAATTTTATTGCTGCCATTTTATCTTCCGAAATCCTACTAACTGGAGCTTTAATTGACAAATCATTGCAGCTCAGAAGCGAGCGCTGATTTTAGAATATTCACTCAATACTCATCGCAAATGAGTTCCCAAGATCAGCGAAGAATCTTCAAATATTCAAGGTCACCAAGGATGATCACCTTTTTATATATAATCTTTCAGTTCACTAAGGGCTGAAACTAGCATTACTTTAATTGAATATTAATCTGACAATTATTTTAACGGTTAATTAATTGTTTTGTCTATAAAATGTCTAAAACTTTGTGTCACAATTTCCCAGAGCCCAAAGTGACATCTTCAAATTGCTTCTTTTGGCCAGCCCACAGTCCAATACCTGGAGACCTTCTTCATTTACCTTATCATGACAAAGACAAGCAGCAAATTTTCACATTTAAGAAGCTGGAAGCAGCAAATGTGATGTTTTTGCTCGACAAATGACTGAACAATCTTCTTTCAATGGACTAATTGATTATTAGACTAATCATTGCAGCTCTAGAATACAGTATGTAACAAAAAAAGCATGTCACATGTTTGATGCATTTAATATAATCAGTATACTCTATGCTGTCAAAGTGCCCTTGAGCAAGACACTGCTGCTCTCCCAGCTCAGTTACTTTAAGTCATGCTGGCTCTAGTGAATATAGCCATTTTAAAGGCAGCCCAGTTTGTTGTTGTCCTCCTCTCTGCTCGGCACACAGAGCACATTTTCTTTCAGTTTTGTAATGAATTGTTTACTCAGAGGTCAGCACTCAGATACTGCGTCATGTGTTGGCACTAGCCAAGGTCGGACCTTGGCACTGTTTTTAAATCATGGAATATTGAGCGCTTTGGGATTGAAGAGGAAGCTCTAAATGTATGTTTTCAGAAGCCTGGCTACTGCCCTTGTGCCTCTAACAATAATTCCCCGGCGTATAAATGAATAATGGAGGATAATGGTTATGGTTTTCTCTTAATGGGATCACAATAGGTTTTGTTCTCACTTGAAGACAAATACGTCAGCGGGTATAAAGTTTTCTTTACTCAGTTTTATTTAGTGGTCAAACACACTTTGCGCACTGCTGTGAGAGCACAGGCTCAACATGCAGTAGCATTTGTTGCAATAAATCAGTTCAAGAGTGCAAACTATCAGCTCTTCAGGGACTTCACCATCCTCCAGTTTAGCAAACCAGCGAGGCAAAGCAAGCGCAGGCCAGGAAGGGTGCATTGTGGGCCTTCTGTGTGACTCCAGGCAACCCCTGGATGTTTGTAATGAGGCCCATTATTCATTCCATATGTTCAGTGTCTGCTGAGAGCCCCCATTGTAGCCCAACAATCGAGCTGTGAGGGGCGTTTAACCCCAGCGCTTGGAGAGGAGGGCGTCGCCTATTTTGTGACATCATGCACAGTACTAATACCTTGAATGAATCGCCTCTCGCTCACTGCAGCGTTTCCAAGTCTGCTGATTACAAGGGTGTTGGCAGGGATACACGGTGCCCCGTTGGATAGGAATGAAAGCGTTTCCGGAGAGATTTAGTCATTTCTTTCCACGCTTCGATTTTAAACGGCTTATGTAGATTAGTTAGTTTGAAATCTAGCAGCACATGCACTGAAAATAATATCAAAATATTGACATGACATTGTGAAGGATCACTATGAATCTTCGGTGTCAATATCTACTCTAATCCCACCAATCTTTGCATTTGAGGTTGGAAGTCAAAGTTGGTACACAGCGGTCATGACTATTCAACACTTCATTGGCTCACTCACATTTACTCAAAGATAATAATGGTGTACTTTAGAAGTGCTGCGATGACAGTAACCCAACACAACGTGCCTGATGGAGATCCATCACGACTCCCTTCGTCTCCCGTGTTGTTGATGATGCTGCCTCTGCAGCGGCTGCACACAGGGTCCACTCGACTCCCCATAGAGCATCAGGAGTTGTCATAGTGCTGGTTGAGGAATGCTGCTTGTGGTCCCCAGCTCTTTGAAGAGGACATACTGGATAGCTTTTTTTTCAGCTTTTCACCAAAGCCTGCCTTGGCAGGTCCGCCGACATAATCTGGATTCTTGGCCTTAGTTTGTTGCCTAGTGAAACACAACCTTAAGCGCTGGTGTTTGGGACTCGATTGTCTCGAATCTTCAAAAGCTTCGAGGAGAAGTAGTTTTTAAGGGTAACCTGACACAGTGTTATCTGGGTGTCCTGCAGCACACCATAATTCAGGACTCTGTAGGATAACCAGGAGCCTAGAGTTCAGCCTCAGATTCTTGGCGTAAGATTTAATGTGCGAGAATGGATGATGCTTTCCTGACCAGCCACAACGCAGACACTTAAACTCTCAGCTGATGAGGTTTTATTGGAAGACTGTCCTTTTCCACAAAAGAAAAAACAGTGTGCATCCCCTTTGTCTTCTTTGTGCTGTGTCATAAGACTCTTTACTCATGCAGTCATTTGCATACAGGCATAACTAATAACATTAACGGAGGCTCCATTACATTAAGGTGTTCCAGTAAGTCACAAGTCATTATTAATGTCATTAGTTACACCTGTGTTTCACATGTCTAGTTTGCTGTGTATGAAAGCACTCCCTAAGTGCACTGTTTACTTTATTACATTATATAATATGGAGTGAATTTAACAGCCTTACACAGTAGAACCAAAACTGTTGTGTCCATAAAAGTGGTACTAAAAAGTCAAAATCTTAATTTACTACTCACTATATAATAAGCTGAGTGTTCATTTTGAGGGAGATGGTGAATGAGTGCACAGAAAGAAAGAAAATGCAAACAGAACAACAGACTTGTGAGATATCCGCTCAATAGTTGTAGTCAGGAGCTTAGTTGCAGCTTGCTGAGCTAAGCGGACCCCACTAAATCAATTGTATTGATCTCCTCCACCTGTTCCTCTTGTTTCTAGGTTGTTTGATGTGTGTACAGTCTCTCGGACTGACCGGGAAACCAAGCTCACTCTGGTGTTTGAGCACGTGGATCAGGACCTGACCACCTACCTGGAAAAAGCCCCTGACCCCGGAGTACCACCCGAGACCATCAAGGTAACCACTGTTATCTTAAGACTACAAAACCCACTAACATCTGGCGTGTGTCGTTAGTGGGAAAGGTTAAAATTGGCTGTCACTTCTGGGGCAAATGACTCTACAGTAATCACAGGTATTGATTGGTTCAAGCTCTGACTGGCTTAGATGGGAACATGACACCTCGGTGGGTGTGCAAACTTTGTCACCATCCAAGCAGTGCGCCAACATTGCTCCAAACTAGTCAGCACAGATTTGAAAAGAAACTAAAGATATAACCGCTGCAACGTTTTCACTGGCCTCCATGCTGCTTTCTGCTGCTCACTAACCCTGTTTTTGCATTTGTGACATTGAATGTGACACCCCAGAAAAAGAAAGGCATACTTGTCTATTGCAGAGCAATGTGAGTGCAACTTGTGGAGTACATGTTAATATTCCCAGACAAATTCCAAAACATTTAAGAAGTTAATTTGACATATTATTTCCAGTTCCTGTTTGAAATATATAGGAAGTGATTTGCTAATACTCTGTGGCTTGAACACCACATGACCAAAGCCGCGTCTGTACGGTAGTGAGTGAGTTTCCTTGGCCACAGACACAGAGGACAGAGTGCAGTCCCCTCCAACATCAGAGGTACAGGAGCATTTTGAAGGGCAGCACATGTGGCAGATGGGCTCCAAATTAGAGGCTCCTCGGCTTCTCTATTTTCACTCTGCCCTCTCCCTCCAAGTTTACACTGCATCACAGATGGAGACAGAGGAAAAAGCGTGTGCAAGAAACTTTGTCTAAGTCCTAACAATTGTACTCCACAGTAGTTCAACCTTTATACCACCATTTCTACTGCAAACATTCAAAACCCCGACCACTATCAATTTCTCCCATTAAATAAATCCACTGAGTGTCTATTTACGCTTCGCCAAAAGGCCGGAAATGGACGTGTCGCCAGCTACTTTCCTCTGTAACTGTCTCCTTTTGTTTTACTCTTTCCCACACTCACACCTTTTTTAAAAAATCTCTATCGCGTTTCACCCCAAGGTCTGTAAATGTATCGTGTGCAATATTAGAGAGATATACTGTATCTCTATTTTTGGACAGAGGGGCCTCAGAGTTTTAAGTGTCATATTTGAAACAGAGAAGTTCTGGAGCAACCGTTGGTTTTCACCCTGGGGGCCAGGTTTACCTGTGAAAGTTTTGTGTGGAGCAGAAATGCTGGTGGGGTGCTTTGCAAGTGTAGACGAGTCACGAACACACCTGAGGCTTTCCCAGGGTTTCTACTGACGCTGATACAGTGTATGGTGCTGTGGTTTCTATGGATATCTCAGGGCAGTGATCATTGCGTTGATCATGATGTTAGATTTCAAGTGTTGTACTTCTGTAAGTCTTACACATTCACATGAAAACCTATGACTGCTGATGACACTGCATTTTAGGGCTGCAACTCATGATATTTTCTGTTAAGCTGCCAGTTATTTTCTAAATTAAACAATTAGTTGTTTGGGCTTTAAATGTCAGAAAGTGTTTCCCAACGCCCAAGATTACATCTTTATGTCTCTTGTTTTGTCCAAAAGCCCAAAGATATTCAGTTTACTCTCAAAGAGGAGTAAAGAAACCTGAAAATATTCACATTTAAAAAACTGTAATCATAGAAATTAGACTTTTTTTTCTTTAAAAAATCACTCAAACCAAATGATCGGTTCTCAGATTAGTTGCAGATTAATTTAATAGTAGCTGTCTTTGTTTATTTGACTGTAAAGTGAATATCTTTTGGTTTTGCACTGTTGGCCAGACACAATTTAAATATGCCGCTTTGGCTCTGCACTGTTTTCTGATATTGATGATGATGATATGAAAATAATGATCTTAGCAAATAGTTGATATTGGAGGGAAATGTTAGCTGGAGTCATTTGATTGTTCATGAGGTGTGGATATGACTATTAGTGCGTAAACTGATGCTTAAAAGATTATTCATTACTCGATCAACAGAAATTGACAGATGAATAATTGATCACCATTTTGCGTAATTTGCCTTGGCGTTTATATCTTTCTGGAAGGCCGCTCTCGAGGACGTGGCCTGCTGTCACACAAAGTGGTGAGACGCAATAATCGCTGATATGGGGATGACAGTGCACACTTTTCGACAGCCAGTCACTATTTTTGACAGGCGTCCATCATGTTGCATTTGATTGTGCAAAGAAACATTCAAGAAGTTCAAATCCTTCTGTCTGCACACCAGGCCAGCTGCTACATGAAGTGGGCTTATTTGTCACATTGTCAGTTTTGATAAGTAACAAAAATTGTTGGCAGCAGCCCCCTACCAATTCTGACATGGGAAAAGCTTTGGGAGGAGGTTTCCGATGCCACTCAACGACCCAACGAGCGTTTCGTTTGAAGCATACTGACCCCTCAAGGCCCCCCTCCCTCTTTTGCTTTCTCCTAACACCCATACAGCTGGAGCCTGGAGGGGACAAAAGGACAATGATGGAGTGACAAGATGACACAGGCACCATCCCCTGTTATTTCTAGGACAGTGGACACTGCGCAGTAACCCCCCCAAATGCCCCCCCTTCCCAGCAACTCAATTTGCCCCCGGCAATATACCAAATGACACCAGATCGTGAATCCCAAGTTTAGCACACCTGTGTCTGTCTCATTAAAGGCTTACCTATTCAAGAGTGTCACCCTTGAATACCCTAAACCAAAGACAAACACCCTCAGCCATAGACCCTAAACTAAAAAGGAACAGGCATAGTTTTCCTCAAACCCAATCCACCCCCAGCACCAGACACCCCACCCCACCCCAGCCTGTCCATTTCAGCCCCCACCCTCCACCACCCACTCAGCCTTACTCAGACTCAAGACCCACCACATGGTCATTGATGAAAGAGGTCCTCCTCCAGGAATCAAATGAGCTGGAAGGACATCAAGGAGCCGGGCTGCCCCAGCCCCAGTGCTCCTCAGCCGGGCCAGCGCTTGGGTCTCACCCACCCTCCTCCGCCGCCACCATCCAAGCCTCCACAACTCCATTCTCTGGGCCCATAAAGGGGGAGGTTAATGAAGCATGGGGAGGGAATTACACTAACGCTAACCGGCAGATGTCCCATATTGTGCCTAGCTACAATAAACAATATGGCTGCCTCTGGTGCATTTGCATTAGAAAAGGAGGCGCACTCAGAAAGCCATGTTTTGACTGCATCTCGCAGAGGGCTGACTACTTTTTTCCTGCTCCTCCTGCTTTTTCAGGGTCAGATCTGTTGCCGTTTTGTGTGATTTTTGTTTCCTCTTGGCCAAGTTGCTGGTGGGGTTTTTGAAGGTCAAAGTGCTGCCAGTTGAAGACAGTTATGTGTTGAGCAACTCGTGAGCCTTATTACTGCTGAAATCAACTTTGTGTGAGGCAAAGACGAGGCTCACCGTTGCTCTCCGGGCCACATGTGGGCTTAAACCTTGTGGCAGCAGTAATTTGGGGATTTTAACTTCTAAACTTGGTGTTTTTTTTTATATTGGCACTGCAGCAAGGTACGCTGTTGAACATAGTTGGAATATTTTTCACTACTCAGTGTGTTGTGAGTGTAATTGATACAGCAGAGAAGATGGCACTCAGGCCAAAGGGGCCAAGATTGTTTGTGTGTTTGTCCAAGAGTCACACTTCTGAGATAATTAGTGTTTACTAGGAAATGCTGCTGAAAGGAAGCATGATGAAATGGCTATTTAAAGCGGAGAGGAACTGATGGGTGGGGGGGGCATGCTATTGTGTCAACCCCCCTCCAAACACACACACACACACACACACACTCGCAAAATAACCAACTGCCTGCCTCTCGTCTCCTATGGCCCTGTCTGTCTGCTGCCCTCCTCGCTGGGTCATGGCTGGATGGAGATGTAGAAAGGAAGGTCTGTTTATGCATCCTGCCTGCCCTTGGTCAGAGGGCACACACACACGTGCATGCTCACACACACACACACACACACACACACACACACACACACACTGATGCACCCTTACACAGTCTGAGGTGCACACACACAAATGGAAATGTAGATACACACATATTATGTTAACACAGACCCAGAGGGACACCCAGTTTGTGTGTGTATACACACACACACAAACACACACATCACTCCCCATCTCCACATATTGTATGAGGCGTCCTGTCTCCTCCTCTATGGCCAGCACAGCAGCCAGCCCCGCGCCGTTTGCTAATGTTTTCTGCTTGAGTGTGCAGACCCCTTTGACTCACTCACCAGCTGGTCGGCCAGTGAATAGAGCTGCGGGCTCAGGTCCATGTCACTTGTGAGGTCTTGGCGGAGGCTTTTGGGGGTGTGCGTAGGGGGCATGTGTGTGTGTATAGGAGGGAGTGTGTGTGTGTTTTGGAGGGGGGGGGTTGTACCCGCTAGGATGCAACACATTGCCACCAGCATCACCGCATTTTACTATGTGTCCTTGTCCTTTACTGCATTTGATTTTCTGTCAGACACAGTGATTGCGGAGACGTACGTTTTTACCCACAGACATTTTTTTTAATCTGGCCTGAAGCTGAAACAGCTCTCCCTAGACTTTATTTTATCAACAACAATCCACATCATAGCTCTGCCAAAACCACCCAGCCACAATCCCTTGTAATGACTTGTTATTTGTTTACAGGTGCAGGACCTGTTTGAGAGTATTACGGTTTGAAGAGAACAAGTCCAAGCTGGTTTCCGACACAGTTCATTCGTGTTACTTTTGCCCGTGTGTCATGGATGCGGTGCCTATGGCCATTTCTGAGGTCAGCTTTTGGGCATAAAAAGAGAACAAGCGCCAATTAACTCGAGCAGGACAGCTGCTGAGAGAAAGAGATCCATGCTTGTGCAGCGCTGGGCCTCTCTCTGCTTCTATCGTGTGTCAGTTATCAAACATCTGCCACAGTCGACAAGAAAAGACACAGGCCTCTTCCAGTTAACTCCCTCCATACCACAATGTCTCAGCCTTTATACTTAACTTCTCACTGCAGGGTCCTGTCATTCAGGCCTTTTGTTGCCTTGTTTGAGAGAGGAATGAATTAAAATGTTGATGTAGAAGTGTGGGAGGCCATCTGTCTTTGGCAGTTTTGCAAGTACAATAATAGCGAAACTACTTTGGAAATCAGATCAATCAGGTGTGATTCAGTCATTCTGCGCAAAATACGGAAAATGTAATCAAACTTTAACCATTTGGTCTGCGCTGGTCGCTAAATGTCACCTAACATTTAAAGGAACGGTTCACCCCAAAGTCAAAAATACATATTTTGCAGTGTAGATTGTTTTGTTGATTTGCAGAGTGTTGGTGATATCAGCGGTAGAGATATCTGCCTTCTCTTGAATATAATGGAACTAGGTGACACTCGGCTTGTGTTGCACAAAGCGGCAAAAAAAACTACATATGAAACAGTCAACAGCAATGTCCCCTCCCAGAAACCCTGACCCGGGTACTCAAGATAAAGGAATTGTGCATCTACTCACGGAAGAAAGGCTGGTGCTCATGGCAGTGCGAGATGTACACATTAATGGCGTCCTCCTCGGCTGAGCTGTAACATTGGCTACCTCAGTGATGTTAGGTGCACACTTCCTTCTTTGCAGTGATGCAGTTGGCGGGTGTCATTCAGTAGAAAGAAGATAGTTCCTGCGTAAAATTGTGTGGGTTATCTTATTTTTGAGCGCCACAAAGAGAGAGCCATCTAGTTTGATTGTATCCAAGAGAAGGCAGACATCTCTATGGCCGATATTTCAACTCGCAACTCGCATTAAAACAATCTAGCCTGACACATAGTTCTATAGGTAAGAGGAGAATTATATATTTTTGATTCTTGGGTAAACTGTCCCTTTAAACCTTGTCAGGACTCAATTATCCCAAAGCTTACATCATCCTAATTTCAACTTTATCGTATCAAATCTCTGTCCTTGTCATGTTTACAAAAACATCCACCCCCTCTCTTTCTTTGTCCTGTCTGTTTTGTCGTCTTGCAGGATATGATGTACCAGCTGCTCCAGGGGCTGGACTTCCTGCACTCGCACCGCGTGGTTCACCGTGACCTGAAGCCCCAGAACATCCTGGTCACCAGCGGAGGACAGATCAAACTGGCCGACTTTGGTCTCGCCCGCATCTACAGCTTCCAGATGGCACTCACCTCTGTGGTGAGTTGTGTGTCTGAGCTCAGTGGGGCTCATCTAATCGTTCTCTACAACAGAGTGACTCAAAACAAACACTCCCAACACCATAAGTTCACGACTGATGAATAGAGACCCAAAAGTGGGTCACAGGATGTTTTAACTGGGTCATAGACATAAATAGACTTGGATAGAGGAATATTTCATGATATCATTGTCTTGGTTTGTGATGTCATGTGAGACAAGCCCTGGTGCAAATAGATTTGGGCTCTGTTTACTTATTGGTGAAGATTAAGTAATTTATCTGCATTCTTAGTCTTGTGTTCAGAATCTCCGTGCCAGACTGTACCTCTTACTGTTAATCTAGTCTCTGTCAGCAGATACTCACACGATATATTGAAGTACTTTCTTAAAATTTAAAGGTATATTATGCAGGATTTTCCTTAAAGACAAAAATGATCCGTCTTGAATCATCACTTATGACCATTTAGAAGTGTTTGGCGTTGTGTGTATCTGCAGGGACTCTGCCCTTTGGCTGTATTTTCTTATTTTTATTTTCCTGTGTTCGAGGCGTCCCTCGGCACAGTGCGTAGGTGAGGTTGGAGCTTTATAAAAACATAGCAACCAGTTGCATTATCGCACATATCCAAGAGGTAGCTACGAAAATTCACCTTTGAATTGTTCACAAATAGTAGCCAACAATTCTTGCTTAGTATGCCTATAAAGCTGAAATTGTTCCTCCTAAAATTTAGATCTATCTCTTTTTCTTTTAAAGCGAACATACACGTTACCAAAAAGAGACAGAACCAAAAAACAATCCCCAGCAAATTATGAAAATATCAGCAAAATAAGGGAAAGAATAACAAACCTATACCCTCGTCCCGCCTTCCTTTTTTCCTCGAAACCCGCACACTTCCATTTTTCACTCCATCATCACTTACTTGCTTCTTCTTTTCAAACAAGTACGGCGTGTAACCAAAAAAAGCAAATGGCAGCTGTTGGATCTTTGTATAAAGTCTGAAGAGTTAAGCTAGTGTGGGGGTGCACACCTGCAAGTGTGCATGTCTCTGCACATCGCGTACGCTTTTATCATTTTCAAATTTATCTTTTAATGCGCCACTCAAACTCACGCCGTCATTGCCACCAAGGCTTTTTGATAGAGCAAGACACACACCCACATACCCTCGCACACACACTGCCTTGAACTGCCCTCCCATCCCCTGAGAGTCGGATTGAAAGCGTCTAATGTGATGTAGCGGGCACTCACAGGGCATCAGCGGGTAGCTCTGCAGCGCTGGGCCAAATGATAGGGTTTCTCTGTGTAAAGTGAGAGCCAAGGGCCCCCGTGGTCCGTCTCAGGAATCCCTCAGTGGCTGCTGCAGACAGGGATGGGACAGACGAGGAGAGACAGACACCCCTCCCTTTTCCACTGTCGGTGCTTTGATGTCCAACTGTTGAGCTGTGGGCTCTGATGACCAGATAAAATAGAGAGGGAGACTGAAAGGAGTCTTTGGACGAGCTGGAAATAGGGAGAGATGAGACTTCTAAGATTAAGGTAGCCAGCAGCAGTAGCTCGGCACCTTGTTATAAGCCTGTGTTCATGAGAGAAGGGTTTCGGAACTGCTTCACATTCACACAGATCTATGCAGCCATGCCTTAAGCTGGTTTGATAATCAGTCTGGACCCCTCAGGTTCACTTGCCGTTTGATATCGCCTGTTTCTTCTATGTAGGTCTCGTCAAAGATGAACTTCAGGTGTGTGCCGTCTCGTCAGTTTTAAAATAATTTCTGCGTTGTGTTTGCACCATTTTGGAGGCGTCAAACTGCTGTGTGTAGATAGTGACATATAATCACAGAGAGTTGAGCGGCGGTGCAACGCACAGACAAAACGTTGTCTACAGTGGTTTGACATCACCCAGTGTGCTTCAACACTGATATGAAATACCATGTAAAATAAACAGCAGTGTTACTCACCCAGTCTGCCGACGGGGCACCGAAGTGATAGGAAGGAGGATGAGGGTTGTAGGTGAAGGCCACACAGCTTCTTTTTTTTCATCATGCCAAGTTAGCAAAGCTCATGGGAACGTTTAACTCAGGCTCATCCAGTCGTTCTGCATCCGCCCATGTAAGGAAAATATAAACAAACTTTGGGAAAGAATGCAAACTTTTATTCTGCTCTCAGCATCAGAATAGAGCCACACACATGTCTGCGCTGGTGTGACTGCACCACAAGGGATTACCAGGCTAGTGGACACAAGCAGGTGCTCCTCCCTTCGAGCTGACGTGTATATATACTTTATTTCTTGGCACACAAGGAAAAGTAGTCACTGTGGGCTACTTAAAAAAATTGTTATATCATGCTTATTATTTTATAAACCCTCTCGTTATTCTCAGGAAACCACGCCATACATCACAGAAAATGTAACGTTAATTAAGATGAAGTGGAATATTGTCGAACTTTATTTTGATTTTTGACTGAAATCTAATGATAAAGTTATCAATAAGTCAACAGGAGCTCTCATTGTTCACACTGCAGTTATTAGGAAATACTGATAAATGTCTGTGCTGGAAATGTCAGGACAGTTTGTCATCGGTCGGTGGACTGATTAAGCTTCAAAATTCAGGCCTTTTTTTCCCCTTATAAGTGTTTTCTCAGTTTGAGTAATGTGTGACTGTCGTCCAGGCTCTAAACTGCCATTTCTTAGTATTATTACGAAGGGTATTTTTTTTATGATTCAGATAAAACTAGTCAGTATTTCCTCTAGTTATTTCTATAACTTATCATTTAGATTAATGATGATAAAACATAGTTAACAGTCAGAGGAAGACGTACCTAACCAAAGAATTTGCATAGTGTTACAATACTCAGTGTGTTTGTGGTTTCACTGGAGGGTTTGTCTCTGTGTAGATGTTAACCTTTATTTATGACTAGACTGGGACACTTTCTGTCGAGGGTAGAATACCTAACTGGGAATTCACCTTTCAATATGAACTGCAAATATCAAGTCCCCGAAACTACTCATGCACACAGAGCGGCTCTGACTGTGTGTGTGTGTGTGTGCTCACACTCACACACTCATTTCCTGTCTTGGGTCTTTAGATTATATATAAATATATTAGATTGGGCCACAAAAAAATGATATGGAGGGTGTGTGTAAGTGCATGCATGCGCTGGAGCGTAGAGAGCGCGGGATCTTTGGTTCTAGAAGAGTGTTTGTGTGTCTGGAATCCCCCTATCAGTCCAACACACAGACACACATGTAAACACACACACACACACACGCACGCACACACACGCACAGTCTCCACTCATCCATTCAGTATTTCCTCTTGCTAATAAAAGCAGATAATCTACACTGTATGCGGCGCACATGTACACAAATACACACAGCATTTAAGAGGATCTTCCCCTTTGCCCAACAGAGCAGCAGTTGCTTATTTAGTCACCTAATGCCACCGTTACTGGCAGACAGATGGGCTTTGGAGAACTGCCGTTGCTTAAGCGAACAAGACACTTCTCTCTCACTTTCAAAGTGATTCATTTAGCACTTCTAGAATGACAAGATGGCTGAAGTGATCATTTGCATAAAGTCGTCAAAAAGAGCCCCTTTGCTCCTCGTTTTCTTTTCCCAGTGTCGCTAACTGAAAGTAGCACTCTTGTACTTTCTGCTGATGATTTACCAGCATTGCTTGAACTTCTCTTTTTGTGATGAAGTTGCTTTCTCACCTAGCAACACGCCGCGTTGTTAATGTGTCATTGACAAAAAATGTGGTTTGTGCGTGTGTGTACAAAAACGTGTGAGTCTGGCTGCATTTGCACATGCATGGTTGCGTGTGACTGATGGCCCCATCGGCATCACCCACCTACCATGTTGCACATATTTCACTCTCCCCGAAAGAGAGAGAGAGGGAGCAGAGAGAGGGAGGGAGACCACCCATTGGGTTGGTACTGGGGTCCAGATTAGGCTGCCCCTGGCAGTCCCAGGAGGTCCGTTGCTTTGTTGATGGTTTTTTAATGACCCCAGTCTGGCTACAGGCTCATTGTACTGCCGTGAGTGACAGGCAGATGGGAAAAGCTGATGGGTTAATCTGACATGCCAGAAAAGAGCGAGAGGGGTCTTTTTTTTCTGTCCATCTCATTGAGATCCCATTTCTGCCAAAGTGCTTTAGGGGAAAAACATTTCTTTTGATTTTGCTTGAATTTGGTGATAAATGCTACAGCAAAATAAAACCCTGAGACTTTGGTTGAGATTCCTTTGTATAAGTCAGTGTTAAAACATGACTTATTAACATCCAAATTTATAACATTTGGACATGTTTGATCAAAGACCCTGCGAGATATTTAACAAGTTAGAAATAAATGTCAGTATTTGACTTGGACTCATCCAATCAAAGACTCAAAATAAGCATTAGCTCGTTACTCTGAGAAAAAGTTAGGGCCCAAAGGATCTCTGTTGTTGATATTAAGATTCAACAGGGCCAGTACTATTTTGGTCACATCTGCCTTTGCGCAAAATTTTGCCTCACACCTGTCAAAAACCAAAAAACTGTCTACACTGCAAAACTGAAAAAGGAGTTTCTTAAAATCTTCACGTTTTTGCAAAAGATGCGTTTTCAGTGCCCTAAATGCAGTTTGTGTGCAGACGATAGGGGCGGGAAATATGGCCCTAAAACAAAATCAGCAGCAACTCAGAGTGAGATTCAGATTCTGTTACAATACAATTAATTCAACAAAATAGAATCTATCACAAATTACACGTTTAAACAGCTCCCAAATACAAAATAAAAATGTCTCCTGGGATCTATAGATATAAATCAAAAGGTGATTTTCCTCTTTTTTTTTTTTTTTTGGCAAAATCATAAATGATTGAGTTGCTTTTTTCCCACCTGGACCTTTTATGCTCTGCTATCTCTCCTCTAGTCATCATGCTGTAACCTGTGACAGGCTGTTACGCAACACATATGTAGTTTTTTGTCGAGCCACGAGCAGCACGTAGGTTTACATTACCAAAGGTTTATGACAAAATC